GTCAGAACCCATGCATGCGTAGCAGTATGTTCACGTTATGTTATTATGTGGTAGTGATAGGGGTGAAATAGTCCTCGGTTACCGGTTGAAAGATATCGAAGGGGAGGTCAGCTTCCGGTTACCGGTTGAAAGATACCGAAGGGAAGTCCAGTTTCCGGTTATGCCAGTCAGATATCGGTTTAAAGATATCGAGGGATAGGCATTATGTGTTTATGGTATGTGGTATGATGAGGGAACTCACTAAGCTTTGTGCTTACTGTTTACAGTTTTTGTTTCAGGTCCTTCTTCATCGAAGGGAAAGGAGTCGGCGCGGTAGCAGCACATCACACCACTATCTTCCACACTATGATGTTCTTGGGATTGTACTCTGACATTGTTATTTGATTATGACATGCTTTTGAGAATTATGATCTATGGATTTGATTAAATGAAATAACTTGATGATGTTTTCTCTAAAATGTTTTATGATTCGTTATATTAAAAATGAAATTTTTTGTCATGATTTTTGGGATGTTACAGTTTATCTTCATTTCTTCAACCATTTTTGATTCATTTGGGGTTAATTGCCTTGCATATGGGTTGCCCTCCATATAAATTGCAGGTTTATGATTATGTTCATCATTTTTAACATTTAACCTCCAAACATCATCCGAATTATAGTAACAAGCAAAAATTTCGAATGGACAATTTGTTTTTCTGGACCCTATATTTTTGGTGGACATCTTCGGACCTCTAGGTACACCACCCCGATCACACATAAAAATAATTTTTGAAACATATCCACTTCCTTTTTTCTTTGTTCTTTTAATAACAACCACATATCCAAGAGACCGTGTCGTTTCTTGCACTCACTCTATTAAATTTTTACGATTGCTAAACACCTAACAAATATAAATATATACTTGGTCGGTTTTAAAAAATTTCACTACAAATATAGCATATAACAACTTACGAATAAACTAAAATTATTCATCAAAAATACATACCAGATTAGTTTGAAAACTTACCATAAGAATGACGATCGACAATTTCGTGAATGTTGTTATGAATGGAACAAATGTTGAATTGAATTGAATCGAACGAACCGTTTATATAACGTATAAAGTTAAAGTTATATCAAATCAGTTTCTTTATTATTAAAGAAAAAGATAAAAATTATTCTAATCAAATCAAAACATTTGGCTTTAAATCATTTATCTACGGACACTTACTTTGGTTTTTTTTCACTTTTATGTTATGTACAGAATATTAATAGACGAGTAATGAGTTTAAATTTTTTTTAATAATAATAATAATAAGTTTTAAGTTTTTTTAAATAATAAGAATAATATAATAAAAAAAACAACAAAAAAATGTCAAATCAAAAAGATAAATGGTTTGATTATTTGATTAGATTGAATTCAGGGGTAAAAAAGAAAAAAGGTACTTCGAATCATCTAATTAAAAAAAATAAGTCCGAACCAAAAGGTTATCCATTTGGCAATCGGCCAATTCCATTAGTTATAGAAAACTATAAACGTAGCTTTATTTGAATCGGCGGGATGCCGAGAAGCTGGACTCTGTAACAACATGCACCAATACCATACTTCCTCCGGCAAACTTCCAGCTCTTTTTGCCGCCTGCACACAACTTACCCACTTGAAGCTTTTGAAATCTCACCTTATCGTCCATGGTTTCTTTAAACAAGAGGCAGTTGAGGGAAAGTTTCTTACACGATGCTTTGATCTGGATGATCCCCATTCAGCTCTATCAACCCTCTCCGGATTCAACCCGAGTTTGTTCTTGCAGAATTTGACTATCCGGTGCTTACATGATCATAAATTGTACCAAAATGTTCTTTCTGTGTATAAATTTTGCCAGACTTCTTGCTGCCCATCGGATAATTTTACCTTCCCCTTTGTCCTCAAGGCATGTTCGGCCGTAAACGCTGTTCGGAATGGTAAGGAGATTCACTGCGTTATTGTGAGAACTGGGTTCGATCAAAATGTAGTTGTGCAGACAGCTTTAGTGGATTTTTATGCAAAAAATGGTGATATCAGTATTGCGCGCAAGTTGCATGATGAAATTACTCAACCAGATTTGGTCTCATGGAACGCATTGCTTTCTGGGTATTCTTTTCATGGACTTAATCACGAAGTTATCCATGTCTTTAACCGGATCAGACTTACAGATTTGAACCCTAATGTGAGCACTTTCGCTAGCTTAATTCCAGTGTGCTCTCGTTTGGGGGATTTAAGGATAGGAAAATCACTCCATGGGCACGTTTTAAAATGTGGGTACTTTACACATGATTTCTTGATTCCTGCTTTCATTTCAATGTATGGAAACAATCAAGATTTATCCATTGCTAGAGGTATATTTGATTATACATCAAAAAAGAATGTTACTATGTGGAATGCCATGATCTCTGCCTACACACAAAACCAGAAATCTCATGATGCAATTGAGCTATTCAGAGAAATGACTCGTGATCATATCACACCTGATATGGTCACTTTCGTGTCTATAATCCCCTCTTCTGGGACTGATTATGGTGAGTCTCTTCATTCATATGTTATCAAATTAGGGTTACAAAACCAACCAGCTATTGCCACCACCATTTTGTCAATGTATGCAAAGTTTGGTCATCTGAATTCAGCTAAATTCCTCTTCAATCATATGAACTACAGAAACCTTTTGTCCTGGAATGCTATGGTTTCTGGGTATGTTTATAATGAGTGTTGGAATATGAGTTTAGCTGCATTTTGTGAAATGCAGGCTCATGGTGTTCATCCAGATGCAGTCTCTATAATAAACATTCTTTCTGCTTGTTCTGGTATGGAAGCAACTCGTTTAGGTCAATCTGCTCATGCTTTTAGTCTTAAAAGTGGGATTGATTCAAATCTCAACTTATCTAACACACTACTTGCTTTTTATACTGATTGTCACAAAATGAGCTATTCCTTTTGTGTATTTGAAAGAATGGGTATAAGAGATAACGTTTCATGGAATACACTAATATCCGGATGTGTACACAATGGAGAAGATGAAAATGCAATTCTCCTTCTTCACCAAATGCAGAAAAAAAGTGTGAAATTTGATTTAGTCACCTTGATAAGTGTACTCCCTTGTTTCAAGAATCTTGAAAATTTGGTTCAAGGTATGGCTGTTCATGGCTGTGCTATAAAACTTGGTTATGCATCTGATGTTTCTTTAGCCAATGCACTTATCAGCATGTACATGAACTGTGGAGAACTCGATACAGGAAAGTTGATCTTTGATGAGATACCCAATAAGGATGTGATTTCATGGAATGCTCTGATAACTGGTTATCATCTTCACATGGTACATAAAGAGGGGATTTTGATGTTTGCTGGAATGATGAAGGATGGGCAAAACCCTAATCAGGTAACCTTATTAAATTCGTTGCCAATGTGTTATACACGTATGCAAGTGAAGTCAATTCATGCTTATGCAACTAGGAGATGGAGTATCATGCTTGAAACCCTGTTCATGGCTTCTCTCATATCTGTATATGGTCGATTTGGTGATGTAAGATCATGCAACTTTTTGTTTCAAATGGGGGAAAAAAGGGATATTTTAATCTGGAATGCTATTTTAGCTGCTCATGTGGAATCAAATCATGCCATGATGGCTGTCTCTTTGTTCTCCAGTTTGCTTCGAGTGAAAATACGACCTGATTATATAACTATTTTGAGCTTAACTTCAGCTTGTGCTCAGATAAACCATACCAACCTTACAAACTGTGTAATGGGGTATGTTTTAAAAAAGGGGATCGACAAGTATGTAGCTGTAAGCAATGCGTTTATCGACTTGCATGCTAAATCTGGGAACATATCGTATGCAGAGAAGGTGTTTGATGAAATGCTTGTTAGAGATATCATCTCTTGGAATACCATGATTCATGGATACGGGTTACATGGTAATGGTGAAGCTGCATTTGCTTTATTCATACAAATGAGAGATTTGGGTTTCAAACCTGATGAAGCAACATACATTAATATCTTGTCAGCTTGCAGTCATGCTGGATTAGTTGATGAAGGATGGATGGTGTTTAAATCGATGCTAAAAGATGATGAAATTTCACCACGGATGGATCACTATGGATGTATGGTGGATTTGTTGGGTAGAACAGGAGAAGTGAAGAAGGCTTATGATGTTGTGAGGAGTTTGCCATTTGAGGCTTCTGTAAGCATGTTGGAGTCTTTATTGGGTTCTTGTTTGAATCATGGAGAGATTGAAATTGGGGAGGAAATAGGGGGGCTGATTCTCGAAAGGGATCCAGAGAATTCGGGAGTGTATGTGATGCTTTATAACGTGTATGCAGGAAGTGGGAGGTGGAGCGAGGCTAATAAAATTAGGTCTTGTATGGAAGCAAAGAATTTGAGGAAGTTGCCAGGATTTAGTTTAGTGTAATTGATGTTAGAAGTAGTACTACACCCAATAGAGAGTTTCAAGTACTTGAGGACAATGATCGTGGTATATAGGATGTTGTTATGCTGTAGTGATAGTTAGATCTGTATCTTGGCTGATAGGATGTTATAAATATAAATGGCTAATAGAAAAAGGTAAAACAAGTCGTATTTTCCAATAGTAACAAGCTATATATCGGTTATTTTAAAATAGTGATGAGCTCTAAATAAAACTTGCATATTATACTATTTTCCATATGGCTCATATGATGCTATAGAAAGAAACAATATACATATGATGCTATAATGCACAAATAGATGAAAATATATTGTTACTTCATGCACTTATAACCAATCTCAGTACAAAAACTGTACTGTTGTTTTTTGCATTTATAACCATCTATGGAATTATATTGCTATTTATTGCATCTCTAAAAGTATATTGCTATTTCTTCATTTTATATACATAGATACTTGCGGATTACATCCAAGTACATAAAAACCATTACAAGTAACTACTTTAGAGCTATATTAGATGCAACTGAAAGCAATGTACTTTCATTATATCATCTTTACTTTCAAAAATCGGTCCTAATAACAGACACAATGAGAAAAGGAGGTTTTATTTCAATGATCTTCAACATAATTCCAATACATCAAACACCCACAAACAACTATCTATATCAAGGTTCCGATTTTACACCACAATAATAACCAAAACCAAAACCCAAACCCCCAATTCTTCCTAGCTTTCCAACTTTTAAGAACACCAATAGTTGTTGTACTACCAACTTCTACTACATAAACCCAACTTATCTATCAATCAAACTCCTCTCACAAAAAAAAAAAACAAAAAAACCTCCAATCAACATATTCTCATCCAACTGTCGAAGACGACCCACCCGAAGCAGCCGGTTGTTTGGCCACATAAATCTGTTTCACTTTTGTTGAAGGCGGAAAGCTTTTGTCCGGCCCCATGGACTGGTACCTTCCATGGAATGTACCAGTCCTACGATGGGGAGACCACTGTGGTCCTAGTCCTGGTCCAGGTCCCCCCATCGATTTGTGTTTAGGAGACACCCCGCCTCCTCCACCACCCCTTTGATACCCATAACCATGATGATGATGATGATGATGATGATGATTATTGTTATTATACTGTTGAGAAGAAGACAAATTCTTATTACCCTGTTGTTGATTCTTGAAAGCATTTGTAGTCTCACCGCCCCCACTGCCTACATCAACAGTCTTTGTGGTGGTTCCGGTCACCGGAGCAGCAGATGTGGTGGAAATGGACGGCCCAGATGAGTCCACCACCAACCCAAGTTCATCAGGGAACGATGGAGTTGAGGTTTGAGGTTCCGAAAATCTATTGGGAGGAAACGTTGACTGGTCAACAGGATGTCCTACATGGCTGCTGAACTGTGAAGGCCCAGTCATAGCTTCCGGTGGCTGTTGTTGTAACGGTAGTGACATTGGAACTGCATGAGGTACGTGGGACCACCGCTGCATATCTGGTGCAGCCTGTTTTTTACATATTTAATCGAATTTTGTCACTTTGAAACATAAAAAAACAATGAATAAAAATTTTGAAAGATTAATAAAATTTTACCTGAAATGGAGGGACATCGAACATTGTCAAAGGGGAACCCATGGGCAATAACGGAGAGCCAGGGGCTAGATGTCGTTGCCCAGAAACCATCATGTCTTCTTCACCTCTAGAAACAGAAACAGAAGATGTTGTCGGATCATGCTTCCAGTCTGGTTGTTTCCCAGATGGAATATACGTGGCACCCATAAAGCTCAACCCGACCTGCCCGAACTGCCCGACTGGAGCGTAATGGTTGTACACCACCATATGTGGTGGGGCTTGCACGCCCGGGGAACCGATGAAGGGACCCGTGAATCCAGCTGGTGGTCCGTAAAACGAGTCCATTCCGGAATGGTTTTGCCAGGGTGGTGGCATGTGTCTTGGATTTGATCCGGAATTTGTAGTTTTTTGGGATTGGGGTTGGGTCCCACCGGATTCGTCATGTGGGCCAAAAGCAAAAACGGGCCCAGTCATCATGGGATGAGGATGATGTGGAGGCTGATGATGATGGTTCATCTCGTAGAATGGAAAGTGAGAAGGTGTGGGACCATGGAAATGAGAAAGCATTTGGGCAGTTGATGAGCTTTGAGGACTAGGTAAAGGTGGCCATAGAGATGATATTGGTGGAGTTTCAACAGAGAGATCAGCAGGAAGTGATACACTTAGAGATTCTTCAGGTTTAGATTGGCTTCCAGATTGTTGATCTGCAAACCACATTTTAAATTAATATCTAAAATAATAAATAATAAATAATAAACTCGACAATACCACTTGAAACTGAGACGGGTCCGGTTTCGGGTCCCACCCCATTGCCAACAATCTCATCTCTATCAATGGCAGCAACAGCAACAGCTTCAACTTCAGCCTCAGAATCTTCTTTTTTAAAGAATATATTGCAATCATTTTCAGTTTTTGAAATGTTTTGAGTCATGTCAGGACGAAAAGACCCTGGAGCCCCAATCACATGCGACACGACACGGCTACTAGGAGGGAGTATTGTTGGTGAGGTAACTGCCCCTGTTAATTATAGCTTAGCTTTATTAATTTGAGATATAATATAATTATAATGTTTAAAATTTTAAAATAAAAAATAAGCTTACCAAACTGAATTTTTTCACCAGCAAGCAGAGAGTTGATTGGGCTTGAAGATGATGAAATTGATTTTCCTTTTGTCAAGATTGATGAGCATGGTAAGATGGGTTCAGTAGTATTGGTATTGGTATTGGTATTGGCATTGGTATTGGTATGATCACCTATAGATGTTACATGTGTTGTATTGAACCTTGCAGGCTTCATAGCCTCATCAAGTTGAGTTTGAGTCAATGGAATAACCTGTATGTTGTATTAAAATTAGTTCAACATTTCACATGAAATTAAAAAATTAAAAACTTTTCACCTGCGGATCCATTCGTGCATTACCCCAGTCACCCAAAGATGTTTGAACATCATCAACAGCCTTATTTTCAGTCTCAAACATGCGACTTGAACTACTATCTTCCACAATACCAGATCCTCTTTGTGGAGTCCTATAAAGTAATGTATATAGTTAACTAAATTTATTATAACAAATAATTTAAATACTATTTTCCATTTCATATAAGAAAATATACTTGTTAGTATCCACAGCAGGAGTGCCAATTGGAGCCAATGGTTGAGATTGAGAAGACACTGTTGAAAAGTCAGCGGAAGGTTCCTTCTTTGATACTTCACCAACCAATGAAACAGAGATTTTATTTGGGCCTTGAACAGAAGGACGTGTCTTTCGTGGTTGCTGATAATTTTTTTTTTTTTTAAAATGTTAATTGTCAAACACTCAAACTAAACATAAAGAGAACAAAATTGAGTGTAGAATAAATAAAAAGTAAAAACCTTTGCGACACGTGATTTTGCCTTGATTTCTTTTTCTCTCTGTTCACGTCGATCATTCAACATCTGTCGTTTTGATCTGACCTCAATGAAGTCATCTTCATCACTTGGACATTCGATCCCTGGTTGCTTAAACACACGTACAACACCGCTTTGCAATGGTGCATCAGATCCATCAACCTCTTCTTCTAGAATGTTCATGTTCCTCTTTAAGTTACCACCTTCAGTTGACTGGGTCTTGGGTGGTGTTAATCTTGCAGTTTCTTTCATCTCATGAGAACCCGACACATCAGGTACAACCCGCTTCAATGACTTAACAGGCACCATGTGACGCCTATACCCGCTTCTAGAAGCTCCCATATGTTTGAACTTGTCATCAAAATTAGAAGATCCAATGCCAGGTGTCTGTTTTCTATCGGAATTTTCACGGACTCGAAACTCGGTTCGTTGAATTGGGCGTCGGTTTTTCCGATATTCGTTAGCTGGAGAAGGGTCGTAACCATGAAAAGATCTTGACCCGGAATTTCTCGGAGGGTATGTTGGTCTTTTACCCTTGTTAGGACCTGGAGCCTTTGACAAGGGCACATCTTTTTGAGAAGATTTGTTATTATCAGGAGTGCCATGTAGCTTCTCTTCGGTTTGTGTAACTGGTTTGGATGCAATTCCAGTCAACCCCCTTGACCAATTCTCATGATTGTCTTTTTTCATGGTTTCTTGAGAGAACTGGTTAGGTAAAGTTCCGGAATTTGAAGTCTGATTCAAGTTGAAATGGGTTTGGTGAATGTTTGATTGAACAAGTGAAATGGGCTGTGAAGTTATTGGAAGAATACCCTGTGAAACAGGAGATGTGTATCTTAGTTGACCAAATTGGAAAAGAGGAAGTTGTGATTGGTGGTGTAGGTGGCCCATTGATGAACCAACAGGTGGATGAAGATGAAGAGGCATCTGTATGGATCCAATTTGTATGGCTGGAACAGGAGATGGTATTAAAGAAGGCCCAGAAAACAACCCAAACTGGAGTTTGACTGGTAAATCTGTCTGAATAGGTACAGAAGGTAATGCATGTGTAGTGGTGGAAGAATCTGATGTGGCATTTTGAGGCTGAACAACTGATTCATTAATCACTGAATTGACTGAATCAACTGCATCTTGTTTTTCTTCTGGTGTCTCAATTGTATTCACATCGGTTTCATCACCTGGGATTCTAACTTCAACACCTTCATTGAATCCCAAGACTAAATTTTCCATCACATTATTCGTGCTTTTCTCTTCAAGACCCATGTGCTGAAATTCCTGTGTCAGGTTTATATTCTCATCATTTCCTTCATGAACTTCATCTTCTTCACCATACCCATCATCATCTTCATCATACTCTTCTTGTTCCTGCATCTCATCTTGATTCTCAAGGCTCCATTCCTCATCATCATCACCTGCTGCCATTGTAGTCACTTCTCTAACTTCTCCAGGTTCATCATTCACATCATGTTCAGGGGTCTCATTTCCATCACCTCCAGTTGGGATAACAGAGGAATCATCCAGCTCATCATGAGAGAGATGTGTTGGGGAGCTAGGGGGACTTGAGACTGAAAGAGATGATTGTGAGTCACATCTTAGTGTGTCATTCTTGTCTAACTTCTGTGCCATGATTTCTTGTTGAACATCAACAAGATCAGATTGTTCAAGCTTGTCTTGAACGCCACCATAATTACCCCCTGTTCTTGCAGTTGATTCCAGAGAACTTGAAGGAGCAGAAAGTTCATTCTCCCCTCTCACTGAAGATTTAGGAATAGATGATAAGGATGGAGGGGGAAGAACACGAGGCTGCTTCATGGAATATCTTGACCTCCCATATGGATAAAGCTTATCTGACTCTGAATTATTCATATACAACCTATTTCCACGAGAATGCCCCTGTCCATGTCCCCAGACTTCACCAACATTGTCATAAAATTCTGACTCGATATCTCTGGTTCTTCCATAAGAATCTCCATCCCCGAAAGAATTCCATCTGTGATCATGAGGGAATCCATCAGTATCAGGATCTTGAATTCCTCCTCTGAAAGGAGACCTTGATGACATGTATCCACCTCCTGAATAAAAGTCTTTTCTGGGAAAAGATCTCCCACCAATGGGTGCTTCTCGCCTGGGACTATGATGACCATTCTCTTGATCGTTGAGTAAGAAAGATGAGTTGCTTCCAACTTCAAATGCATCACGTTTCCATGGATTAACAGGCTTTCCTCTTTCCACAAAGCTAGATGAAACTTCTCTAGAAAACTGAGGCCTGTCAAAGGGTCTGTCTATTGCAGATGAATCAGAGCTTGCTGAAGTTGTAATTCTCTCCACCATTCTCTGACTAACTTCCCAGTTATCAAGATCTGAATCCATCGATGCATCACTGTCTTTTCCACCAACTGGAACTTCATCATCTCCACCACTCTTTCCAACCTCAGCTTCCCTCTTTGCGATTTTAGCTTCCAATTCTAGAAGCTTCTGTTTGGCAGCTTGTTTCCTTCTCTCTTCCTCAAGAAGCATCCTTCTTTTCTCTTCTTCACGAGCAACCCTTTGCTCTTCAGCTTTCTGAATGGCTTCTAACCTCTCTTGTTCTGCTCTCCATGCAGCTTCACGAGCTTCTTCTTCCATTCTTCTTCGCCTTTCTTCTTCCTCTATGATTACCCTTCGTTTCTCTTCATCTTCTCTTCGTGCTTGCTCTATAGCTCTTTCTTGTTCTTCAACAACCCTCTGTCGTTCCATCTCTTGCATCTTTTGAACTCTTTCAAGTTCAGCCTCAAAAGACTCCCTAACAGGATCATGAAAATCTGTCTGTTTAATCACCTCCTTCTTTCTTTTAACCACTCCAACTAGGTTTCCAGTAAATGGGTCTCTTTCATCATAAACACTGGAACTGAAGTCTTTTTGATAAGGGTCATCTAGGTAATTTCGCTCACTCTTTGAAAAAGAAGACTTCTCCCTACCATAATTCGACCCTGCAGCATTCTGGTATCTAGGGGATTCTACAGAGTGATTCCAGTGGCGTTGTCCCCCTTGTCTCCCTTGCCCTGTATCCCTTCTCACATAGTTTCCTGAAACCACACCATGGTGAGCATTGTCTCCCAAAGCTGAATTGTATTTACTGTTGTTATAACTATCTGGCACATTGACATTGTTTCTGTTACTTATAACTTGGGGAACAGTAGATCTATCTTCATGAATAGAAGAACTCCTCCAAGAGTTGCTTTCCCTGTCTTCCCTACTATGCATATTTGTCTCTCTCCGGTAAGACTCAGGTTTAAGGACCTCAGAAGTGGGACCCTTTGCTATGTTACCCATGTGCTGACCACGCCTTTCGGATAGATTATTAGGTGGCTTATGTGGCAAAATGCTGCTCCTAGGCACATCAAAATCTTTATCCCAATAAGTTTCACTTTTGGGAAACTCCTGATCTCTGCCACTCCTTCCTGCAAACCCATAACCTGTATCTCGCTCATCATCAGCCCAATCAGACCTTGGATTCAACCGTATAAGTGGTAGAGGGTCCTCTTGCTTCTGAGCATGATCCGGGCGTGTATTGTTTGATCTTGGACTCTGCCCACCATTTTCATTCATGCCATTTGCAATGCGATGGGAAGATTGGATATGAGCAGGTGAACTGAAACGAGAACTGTTTCTTAGATCATTGGATGACTCCTCACTAACTAATTGTTTCAGCTTTTGGAAAGATCCTTCCTTCTGTTTTTGTGCAGGTCCTGATGAGGAAGGCAAAGCAGCCCGTAAAGATGGAAAATCTTCTCCTCTCAACACCATAGCTTTCTCTAGAGTAGGCATGTTTGGATAATGAGCTGATGATGTATCTCCATGGCCAAGTCCACCACCAAACCTAGCTGAAGGAGGCATATATGTGCCACTTCCCTTGGTAGCTGCTGCACCTTCAGTATAATTCACACTCTCTGAAACCAGAGTATCACCACCAACTTCCTTCTCCTGCAAAGCAACATTTCCAGGTTTGGTCCAGCCCATACCTGAAGAAGTTGGTCTTGAACCACTACCTGAACCAGCACCACCAGCCACCCCTCCCCCTGCCCCTGATGAATCAATTTTCTCATATTCTTTTCTCAGTGAAGGCAAGTTCAAGGGGGGTGGAACAGATAACTTCGGGACAGCCTTCTGCAGAGGACGGTTTCTTGATAGAACAACCATCCCACCACCGGTACTAGCATGCCCACCAGGTCGGGCACGGTTTGTCCCAATACCCGGTCCATAAGAGCCACTATGAGGTGGATAATTATGATGAGAAGGCTGCCCATATAACTTATTCAAATTTACAGACACAAACTTGGATCCAGAACCGCCATGGTTGTTGGCCATAATCGAAGAATCCAACCCGCAAACCTTGTTCTCAATCCGCAACAACGCATCAAAACCCTAGCCCTAGGTTTCTCTCTCCTCCACAAATATCAGGTGTGTACACACGCAGGCTCTGTTCAGCAGATCTCACAGTGAACGCGAATAGAAAAATCAAACCTTCGAACGCCCTCTCAGCCTATCTGAGAATGAATAAAAACACTGTGATCGAGACGAAAATTGATAGAATATACTTAATAAATGCACACGATATATAGATCAATCAGTGAGTCCTGTCCATGATTAGGGCTTCAAATGTTGTGAAATTTGATCGGGAAACACGATCAAGTTGATAGAGTATAAGATGGAATAAGTTACCTCCGACGATGTAATACGACGGATGGCGATGGTGATTTGCGCCGGTGGTAGATAAAAAGACGTCACAGAAGCCCTACAACCGCTCTAGTCAGGGCGAGGGCGAAGGAGAGTTGATTTTTTGTTTTAAGATTTGGGGAGAGGAGATGAAAGTGTACAATTTGATGGAAACCTATTTTGGTCGGTGTGTTTTTTAGTTTTACAGAAAGTTACATAAATAATCCCTTCACATATCATCTATTAACAATCTAAGTACCTCAATCTTTGAAAACTAAAAGGCAGTCCTTTAAGTAAGCTTACATACCAAAAGAGTTTCTTCGTTGACAAACATAAGCAAAAACGGTGTTAAAGTCCTTCATTTGCAACCGACTTCACACGATTAGGGGAAATTTTGTAGTTTTTACTTGTTTTTTTTATGTCTTCTCTTGTTTTATCTTGTATTTTATTCGTTATAAAGTGCCAACCTACCACTTTAGAACCTCTCTCCATAAGTAAGGGCTTAAGTTATCAAATCTTCATGGGAAAAAAAAGTCTATAGTCATCAAAGAGATACATGGTGATTTATCTTTCATACAAGTTGTAAAAGCATTGTTTTATGCCTTCACCAAGGAATATATTATCCTCTAAGTTTATCAAAATTGCGGAAAGGTATTGTAGTTATGTCTAGAAGACATTGCACACCAACATTAATGTCATATATGCAATAATTAGAATTAAGTGTGAAAACTACACACAAGTACGGACACAGTGTTGGTGATTTTACATCACTAATATTATTTAAGTGTAATAGGATTAATTTGTTGATCAATGTCATCTTGATAAATATTAAACAAGTTAGGATGGTGTGGAGTGCACATTTGTTTAAATTTGTCTTGATTGAAAGTACATTCTTATTTATGGGAGAAACCCCTTAACGAACGGGGGTCTGGGGGCAGCGCCCCTGGGAGCGGGGTCCAAGGGGCGACAGCCCCTGGCGGGATCGAGCTGACATGTCAGCGCGAAAAATTTTTATATATGTTATGTTACTGTATTAAAAATGTATCAGAAATCCGGATTTTAGGTAAATGCATCCGGTTTTGTGATCCATATTCTAGACCCGGATTTAAGTTGGTTTATGACCGCTTTTGTACAGGTTTATGACATAAAACTGTCATGTGGCAATTTAAGACAGGAAGTTTTTCTTGTTATATGATCATTTCGAAATCAGTTTTGGTACTCTTCTTCTTCATAACATCTTAAACATTCTCTCTTCTGTTTCTCTCATTTTCTGAGTCTTATCCGATTAAAGATTGGAAGTAAGAAGAATTATATTAAATCAAAGTAATAGTTAGGGTTGACAATTGTAACATATTTGACGTAATAAAAAAGAATTATATTAATATTATGTGTTTCATGATTATTATAATATAATAAAATAGGAAAAATCAGTTGAATCGTCCGTAAATCGTAAAAATAAGTTCGCCAAAACATATATATATATATATATATATATATATATATATATATATATATATATTATTTAGAAAGTACACGCCTTCCCGATCCCGAAAATATAAATTTCGTAGAAATCCGACTCCGTATGAATTAGATATGATTTTTATAAGATATAAAAGTCAACCGCGCACAACGAATGTATGACGTAAAAATCTACAAAAAGAATTGTTGAATTTTAGGTAAAACCACCAAAAAAAAATCGTAGTACTCATTAAAATAAGAATTTTGAGAAAAAATTGTCAAAAACGGAGTCCGTACGAGAGAGTTATGATTTTAGCAAAATCATTTAATTTTATAAAAATATGGGCGAAAAATAAAGTCAAAATTAGCCGACTAAGTCTAAACGAAAGTTGTAGATGTCGTCAATAGCTACGCGTGGATATAAAGAACGTCAAAAACGGAATTCGCATGAACGGGTTATAATTTACAATAGCATATTTACGTATTAAAATAAAGTATAAATCATATATACGTATACATATATATACTTATGTATATATCATTAGAAATGTATGATGCGGTCGTTATAAGACTAGTGTTGAGTACTTTCGACATTAGTTTGGTACAAATATCGTTAAATCTATTTAAAATAGTAGTATAAAGGGGTGTTTAGTCGTTTAAATAACTATAAGATCATTAACTAACTATAGATGTCAGTTTTTGAAAATTCAATTAGTATAAATAAGTGGCTCTAGGCTCTCATATTTCTTGCACCATTATCTCGATTCAAAAGTCTTTCTCTTCTTATCCCCCGAGCATTTCGGTCCCTCGTGATTCGACTTCTCTTTCTGTAGTTTTAGTATAGTAAGGTGAGCACTGAAGTGCTACAAGAATCTTTTTAGAAAGATTAAGCGATGAAGTTCTGCGCCTGCAGAGCCGGCTCCTAACTAAAACCCCCTTGTAAGTGAGTTATGCTTACTCTTCTTTAAGTATAACTTATATTTAAGTTCATTATCGTTATTATGAACATATAATCAATATATGTGGAAAGTATAAATTATAAAAAAGTGTTATTATAATATCTTTTAACTACTCGCGGTACGGAGAATCTGGTTCGACAGGCCGCATAGGGTTGTTGGATTTCAGAAGTGCTTAAATGTCAAAATGGTCCTGCCCTCCGGTGTTTCATGTCTGGCCGTGTGTACATAGTGGTTGAAAAGTATTGTTTAACACTTATAAAACAATAACGCTCGTAGACCTTGAGCTAATTAGTTGTAATAAATATTAGACAAAAACTTATAAATAATAATGTTAGGTTTCGTCGAAGGAAAAAGACGATTGTTAGAAGCGAAACGTTGTCCAAATTTCGAGTCATCACTTTAACAAGTGAATGCATAGTTACTTTCATCTTACACATAGATATGAAGTATTTAGTATAAATTACTTGCTATGTGTGCATATTATCCGTGTTCCTGATATCTATGCTAGATGAACGATTTATACATGTTTACGTGATTTAAACTGTATACGTATTTTTATACTTATAAATATATATTGGGTAGCGACGGGTGATGAGAGATAGGTGATGATAGATAGGTGATGATAAATAGGTGATGTGAGATGAGAGGATATACCATAACCTTGACCGGTGATGTGGCGATGTAGTCATCTACCAGAGTATAGAGGGCAACCACATACTATTCTAGACAATCATGTGGAAACAACAGCAAACACATAACCTGTAGGTGATGAATTACGAGTTCAGGCGATGTTGTAACTATGTATTCATGCGATGATACTCTAACTCTTACTATGAATTACGAGTTCAGGCGATGTTGTAACTACGTATTCATGCGATGATACTCTAACCCTTACTATGAATTACGAGTTCAGGAGATGTTGTAACTACGTATTCATGCGATGATACCCTAGCCCTTACTTGACACGTATTGATGGAGTAATCCCTGAATCGGTTATGTCTATGCGATGTAGGCGATGATCTTTAGGAAAAGTCCTTAGGAACAAACATATAAGGAAATGGGATGTAAGGAGATGAGAGGTAAATATGATGTAGGAGATGACCCTTAGGATAAATCTGTAGGGAATATTAAATGAAGAAAATGGGGATGGGTAATCGGGTTAATTGTTTGACATGAATTATGTGAAGAAACTAATTAACTATATTTTGTGGGTTGAAAACCCTATATACTCACCAGCTTTCCCAACCTGACCCACTCAGTTTATTTGTATCACAGGTATCGATACAAATATACATTACACTGAGAGATTAAAGGAGATGTAAATCATTAATATAAATGAATGTAATGTATGTTTATGCTTATGTTTCTGTATTGACGATGACATCCTAATGTTTTAATATAAAAAAATACATTTCTTCGGAAATGCTTTGATAATATCTTTATCATATTTCTGGGAAAAAAATCTGCAATATTATTCTTCAAAATGGTTACTCTGATTTTAAATAAAAATTTTAAAATGACCGTGAATTTAGGGATGTCACAGTTGGTATCTGAGCATTAGTTTAAGCGAACTAGGAATTTTAGGAAATTTCTAGACTTCAATTTAGAATGTTAAGCGATGATTGTGAGATGAGTGTCTGCTATATTTAGGATGTATGCCTGAATAGACACGAGCACTAGCTTATTTTAGGAAAGATGCCTAAAATGCTTTTATATGTTAAATGATTCATGCTATAGCTATAAAGATGCCTTATATGCTATTATTTGATAGGATCTATGGTCTATTGCTGACCGGATCTGGAAATTTTATGTGCTCAGATTTCTAAACGTTTAATTACGGTATTAGAACTGGCATGTACCTTTTCGGTGTAACATCCGTCTCTCGAGGTATTGATTAATTATGCAAATTAATATTGGTTTTGGACTAAGGTTTGGGCAATGGCCCTTGTTGGAATGGACCCTAGAATATTGGGCCAAGGAGTGGTCTACCCATAAGCAGTACGCGGGGCGTAACCCGGCGTACGCGGGGCGTAGTAATCACATTGGATGCGCGGGACTCGGGGGCGTACGCGCAGCGTACCATGAGGTACGCCCAGCGTACGCGGGTAGATGCCAAACCCTAATTTTTAGGGTTTAAAACATATATAAACCCCATTATAGCCACCCCTTTGGCTTCCTCACCTGTCCCTCACTCTCAGAAAACCCTAGTTCGTCCCTTACTCCATTTCTTTGTGTGCTTGACCTTTTGGAGTTTATTTTGGTGACGAAGGGCTTAGAAGAAGTGAAGCAAGGTTGAAGGAAGAAGCACTTGAGTATCTTGAGCTCAAGGATCTGGAACAAGTTCACCTTTGGGCACTCAAGGGAGGTATAAAGCTCCTATCTTTCCTTATTGAATCATAAATCTAGAGTTTTGGAAGATTTGGACCTTTTTAGGTCCAAAGATTGGATCTTGATCATGCAACTTCGACTTTGAGCTTAGGGTTGCCACCCTTGAAGCTCAATGTGTTCCTTTAGCTGTAAAGTTGCAAGCTTTGAGGTTTTTATGAAGCCATGCAAGAGATCTAGCCATTTCCATGATGGTTCTTTGTCACTTTTTAGTGTTGGGCTCATTTGCTGGCTTGCAAGCCACCAAGTGATCGACTTTATGGGCTAGGACGAAGTATTGGACTCAGATCTGTAGTTTGGATGTTCTGTCTTAAGAGATTAAGTCGTTTTGGAAAGGATGGCTTAACAGGAGAGTAC